AGCAATTTATCATTTTCTCAGCTTTGCCCAGAGAAGCACTCAATACTTTTACAGGATCAGGCTCTAAGTTCATAGAGTGCCAAATGCTGTTGGTGCTTAAATGTGGATGGCAAATTGACCAAAGCGCAGAACTAGGAATCTGAAGGCCTGGATTCTGTTCTCAGTGTTGTCACTGACTTGTTTTTGTGACCTCTGCACCATCATCTGTCTTTGCCTCTGTTTCCATATCTGTGTGTGTGTGTGTGTGTGTGTGTGTGTGTGTATGGAATACCAACTTCTTGTGAGCAAGAGATGTTTATTATTAAACTGTTGTGAAATGTGCAGTGATCATTAATTAAGGCAAAGTGGTACATATTACTAAACTGAATCTAGACCCCCTTTAAAACTGGATGTGAAGGCCCTTCTCTTTGTCTGATCTGCAGGTATCCTGTACTATGTGTACATGGGCATGTTAGCAGTGTTTTGCACCAACGCCATCAACATTCTTGCTGGAATTAATGGGCTTGAGGCAGGACAGTCTCTGGTGATAGCTGCTTCCATCATCACATTCAATGTTGTTGAATTAAATGGTAAGGAAAATGTGTGTGTCTTTTTGGGGTTCTGAATCAGTGCAAAGATCCAAGGGAGCTAGGTGCCTGTACTTGGAAATGTTTGATGTCTAGAAAGATGAACAGATCTTCAGATGAGGATAATGCTTATGTACCAAGTGGGGCCATGACACCCATTTGTATCTGGTCCAGTGTATTAGTGTAAGGTTACGGAGATACCTTCTTGACAGACACTGTATACAAACCTAAGATGGACAGATCCACACCCTGACTCCAGGACATACTTCTGGACCACTGTGGCTGATGTTGAGTTGTCAGTAATTTGTTCTCTCTCTTTTCTACAGGAGACTATAGAGATGATCACATTTTTTCTCTCTACTTCATGATTCCCTTTTTCTTTACTACTCTGGGGCTGCTTTACCACAACTGGTAAGAGACTGCATGGAATAAACAAGCGTTCATAGTATCATAAGGCTCCCTCCTCCCCCTTATACTTAGAGAGGAGACAAGTAATGAGACATTCACAAGCTCTCAGAAATAGAACAATGGATGGCTGATCAAAGTATTCTATATATTCTGGCTGGAGCACAAAGATTCTGGCGCATTGATCCATTGGAAGCCTTTGACTGCACCAGAAAACTGCACAATAACAGGGACTTCTGACTCCAGGTTCTGTGGTTTGATCACAAGACAATCTGTCCTCCCATCCCCTACTCACTAATAATCTCTCCAACAAATAGCTCAGGCACTAGATTTAAAATCTTGCAGTAAGATTGTGAATGCCATGCTTTCCCATACGTGATCTTCAACACTAATACCATGCCCCATCCCCATTCTTTCTATCTGGGTTGCAGGTATCCATCCAGCGTGTTTGTAGGTGACACCTTCTGCTATTTTGCTGGTATGACGTTTGCTGTGGTGGGGATCCTTGGGCACTTCAGTAAGACAATGCTGCTTTTCTTCATCCCTCAAGTGCTCAACTTCCTTTACTCATTGCCTCAGCTCTTCCACATCATCCCTTGTCCTCGTCATCGGCTTCCCAGGTAACAAGTGTGTAAGTCATTGTGAGATGCAATGTATTTGGAACAAGGAGCTGCCTTTGGATCTGGCTTTGTTTTGGGTCTGAAATGGGGTGAGGGTGTCTGCAGATTTCCCTAAAGGATAAAATACATGCCTCATCTGCTGTGGCTGGAGGAGGGAATGAGAAGTGAAATGTAGACCGTAGTCATCAGCTAGGGACAAAGGCTTTACCAGAACTGTGTGGGGAATTTCACTTGGCAACAACTGCCATCTTCTTGCCCAAGGACAGGAGAAAACTGTGGACGCCATGATTTTATGGTTTCCAGTGTTTTCCACAACATTTAAACTTAACAAAAAAATCTAAACTTTCCTGTTGCAAACAGCAGGGTGTAAAGAGAGGAGCTGCTGTCCTGTAAATTCAGCCCAGCAGAAAAGTGTCTCCCACCAAACGGCTACCCCTCTGATACTCAATAGTAATGTCCTTCCTACTGGTTCCCAGAAGGTAGAAACTGCAGAGTCCTGATGTGGCCATATTTTATTACTAGCATGGCTTAATGCACACCAAGTTTGTCTGTGATGTAAAATCAACCATGCTGGGGGATCTAGTTACAAAGCACCTGTCCCTAATATGCTTGGGTAATGGTTTGTAGTCTGAGTTATAACCATGTTAACAAATAATGTTATAGCCTTGTAAAGACCAGAAGCTGTAACACTGTTCCTTAACAATGTTATAAAATGGTTGTTCCTAACCGCACAGATTGAACCGTGAGATTGAAGTGTTTATACCATCCCTGAGGTGCTGTTATCAGAAGATCCTGACAGTTCTTGCAGTATAGCAGTGACTGTGTGTGTGTGTGGTTTTTCTACTTTGCAGAATGTTGTGGCAATTTAAATACAACCAACTAACGCCCCCCCAAAATTCTCCTGCCCCTGCCTTATTTGAGTGGCTACATACCTGAGACTCCCAACGTTACTGGGACTATTACGTGCATACAATTACTCCAGCTTTTTCCACCATCCACTTTTTAAACAACCCCATCTCTTTTATAGAGAGATTAAGCTGCCTCTTTGCTGCAATTGGACTAATATTTCAATGTTCTTTTCAGGTTCAATCCTGTTACAGGGAAGCTGGAGATGAGCTACTCTAAATTCAGAACCAAAAGTCTTTCAGCACTGGGAAAGTATATTCTAAAGGTAACCTGAGAAAGACAAGTAAAATTTGCCTTCCAATAGCAACCGTACACTCGGGAATTGGTGGCAGTGCATAACCTCCTCTCCACCCCATGCCTCTGGGCACCTGGGGTCAAGTCCTGAGTAAAAAGAAACAAGTTCAGTATAGTCTCATCCCAATCTCTGGTGGACATTTGTCCACATTACTAAAACCTTGCAAAATGAAGCATGACTAGCAGTGATTGCCAGGGGCCTGATCTGTCTTTCCATTGATTTCACTGAGTTTTGGATCAGAACATAGGAGTGGAACAACAGAAGGCATTGTTGGCAGGGTTTTGTGGAAGAAGCTTTCAGTACATCTGCCTACACCATATTAGGCTCTAAGTAGTAAACAACTAATGCATCTAATTAAATGGTGCTTAACACACTTCTCTTCCCCAGGTATCAGAGACCTTACGTATAGTGGATGTGAGACAGAAATTGGATGAAGATGAAGAATACACAGAGTGCAATAACATGACACTCATTAACTTTGTTATAAAGCTTATTGGACCAGCTCCAGAGCAAACCCTCACTGTCCTGCTGCTGCTCATCCAGGTCAGGCAAACGCTCCCTCAGGGAGGAGGACCATCCGCAGTGGATGTGGATCCACACTAAAATTCTCAGGGGTTGGGAACATTTGATTCTACCCCTGTACTTATCTTTACTTCTTCCTTTCTATCACACCAACTAGCTTGCTATTGCCTGGGTTGATTCTCACCTCCCCGGGGTAGCTATGCTCTGCTATAAAGAAGCATGCTGCTAGGGAGGTGGTGGAATCTCCCTCCTTAGAGGTTTTTAAGGCCCGGCTTGACAAAACCCTGGCTGGGATGATTTAGTTGGGGTTGGCCCTGCTTTGACCAGGGGGTTGGACTAGATGACCTCCTGAGGTCTTTTCCAACCCTAATCTTCTATGATTTTATGCTCCTCAGAGAGAATAATCTTGCCCAGTCTTCTCATTTCCACCCCACCTCCCATGTAAGTAAAGACATGGAAATATTTTAAATTAACTCCTGTGTTACTTACAGAGGTTGGTCATATGCAGAAGTACCAGTAAGCTGTTTGATACAGGGATTTTGTCTTCATACCACTCTGTAAAGCATTTAGCACAGCTGGATTCCAATTCTCTTCCTTGTTTTTCCCTCTGTAGGTAGTGGGCAGCACCACTGCATTTTTGATCCGGTACCAGCTAGTACGTTTGTTCTATGATGTTTGACTGAGCTGCCAGGGGTGAGGGAAATGCCAGCACCTCGTGATCCACCTTTTACTTTCTTTGGTTCCCCTCCAAATGGCTGCAATTATCCTGCTTTCTCTGTGAATCACAAGACCCCTTTTCAGATGTGAGTAAAGACTCTTACAGTGGTCTCTCTCTGCTGAATTTTTTTTTCTATGCTTTGGTTGGGCACAGAGGTAATTTGTCTGATAATGGTGTTAATGTTCCATGAGCATCACAGACCTGTAGACATTAGCATTACTGGGAATAATCTGCACAAGGAAGATACGCAAATATGACTTGAATCTTTTGTCCATGGGGCTGGGAAAGAGGCCAGGGGAGGAAGAGGACCCAGGCACCCCTGCCATCCCTTGCCCCTAATATATTTTTGTTTTCTCATTCAAATGATTTATTATTGGGATATAGCCTGTTTCCCCCAGCATCCTACTTCACATAATTATTGTCTATCCATTGCCATCACTTTGCTCAGGGGGCAAGTACACCACCAGTTCCAGGCAATGACCCCTGTGCTGGGGCTGAGGGGGGAATGGAGTTACTCGCTGGCGTTCAGTGGCCCTGCTGGCTCTCACCCAAGCACAGAGTTTAGGGAGGAGCAGTGGCAATAGGCGGGGCTGTTCATGGGGCAGATAAATGGCGTGGGGTCTCCGCCCCGAGGGAAGGGGGGGCTTTGTGCCGGCCCCTTCAGCAGCGAAGGCCTAAGGCCGTCACTACCCAGCCTAGGGGAAAGAGGCTGGGGAAGCAGCGAGAACGAGGCTCCTCCGTTCCGTTAGTGGTGCCTTCGTCTCTGTGGCCCCTTTGAATTTGGCGCCCTGCCTTCCGATTGGCTTATTTTAGCAGCCAATACACGCATAAAACTTCGCTGGGTCGTGAGGCTAACCAATCCCGGAGAGATATTCGTCTGGGCGGCCAACCAATGGCAGAGCGCAGCGTCACTGTCCAGGGGGCTGGGTCTAGGTCTCAGCCGGAGACTATAAAAAAACCCAAAACGTGCGGGGTGTAGGGTCGGTTCAAGCCAAGCGGGCTTCACTTCGCCCTCGGACAGCGGTGTCGGCGCTGCCGCGAGAGCCTCCCCCAGTGCCGTTGGAGCGGGTCACCGAGCCGTGTGCGTCGCTCCCCTTCCCGCCATGTCCGGCCGCGGTAAGAGCGGCGGCAAGGCCCGCGCCAAGGCTAAATCTCGCTCGTCCCGCGCTGGGCTGCAGTTCCCGGTGGGGCGCGTGCACCGGCTGCTGCGGCGCGGTCACTACGCGGAGCGCGTTGGCGCGGGCGCCCCGGTGTACCTGGCCGCCGTGCTCGAGTACCTGACGGCGGAGATCCTGGAGCTGGCGGGGAACGCGGCGCGGGATAACAAGAAGACGCGCATTATCCCGCGGCACCTGCAGCTCGCCGTGCGCAACGACGAAGAGCTCAACAAGCTGCTGGGCGGCGTCACCATCGCGCAGGGCGGTGTCCTGCCCAACATCCAGGCCGTGCTGCTGCCCAAGAAGGCGGGCGGCGGCGGAGCCGGGCCGGCCAGGAGCGGCAAGAAGGGCAGCAGCCAGCAATCGCAGGAATACTAGGGCCGGCCCCGCGCCGCCGGCGGAGACTCACCCCCCCCCCCGGCCCTTTCCAGGGCCGCCCGAAGGAGCTGCGGGTCCGTGGCCCGCTTGAGACAAAAGCGGGCTCCTGGGCGGGGAGAGCGCGAGGCCCCCGGCGCCTTAAGCTGGGTTGAGGGAGTCGGGCTTTCCCGCTCCCACAGTCACTGCCTGGTGGGGGGCGGAAGATTTCCTTGGGCTCGAGTGGGGAAGCTGCCTGGGGTCCTCCCGCCCGGCTGCCCGTTGTACGAATCGGGGGGAGCCCAGCCTCACGCTGCGCACGTGCCTTGATAGTAAACTCAGCTGCTACCTCGAACCCTAGTGTTGTGCCCTTCGGGTGAAGCTGCTGTGTGCAAAGCCCTAGTGGCAGAGGAAGCTGCTGCGGGGTCCTTTTTGCTCTGCAATTTCCTGGCCCTCCCGATACCCACTTGACTCCTGCTTACCTGAGATGCTTCAACATCAGCAGTGCAAACTGACCCGTAACAAAGATTCGTACGGGGGACCAGCGGTGTCCACCTTTTTATAGCTTCAAAAGTCGCCCCCTGAGCTTCGCTGCGGAAGCTTAAAAAAACTGCCCCTGGATCCTTTTAAGTAACTGTTCATGTGGTACCGACAGAGGACTGAAAAGAAACACATCAGAATGCAATTGTGGAGCTGCCTCACTGTATACTTGCCCGATTTTTTTTTTAAAGGAGCCCATGCTTGCTGTTTGTTTACCTGTTTCAAAGTGCCACTGTTTTGAAAGATGTAGATCTACATATCTTGTTTGTAAACTAATAAGCCCTCACCCTCTTGAGTAGAAGGCGGCTTTCACTTCTCAGCAGTGGTGTGACTCTTTACTGATGTGCTGTAAAATTCTTTGTCTAAAAATGTTAACTATTTATTAGTTTGATTCTGCAGTGAAGCCATACTTTGTTTGACCTGTTTCAACAGACAGTATCTGCAGCCAGAAGCTCAGTACCGCCACTGCAGGATCAAACCAGAGAAAATTCTAGGGTTAGTATAAACTTTTAGTTAACAAAACAGCAACCATTTCTCTTTCAGCTATGTTCTTTCACTTGGACACTGCTAAATCTGCTGTGGTAGCCTCTAACTTCCTCTCATCCCAGAAAATGTAGATATTGTGGAATAAAATATGGGGTGACCTATTTCTGTAGCATTATATTCATTGCACTGCTAGTTCAGTGGCCAGAAATTGTTAATATGTATATGCCTAAAGAAGAACAAGGATTTAAATGGGCATGGAAACAATTCCTTTCATAAGAAAAGAATAGTCAAGGGGTGTTGTATAAACATTGAAACAACCCATTGTTTCATTTACAAAACACCCCCTTGCATTTTACAATTTAAAGGGACACTAGTATTGGCTTGAAAGATGAAGGGGATGAATCACTAGTTCAAATGAATATTCTACTACTGTAAAAGGAATGGACTATTGAGCTTAAAAGGATTAGAGTGTAAGGTGGAGTGGGCAAACTTTTTGGCCCGAGTGCCACCTCTGGGTATAGAAGTTCTATGGCAGGCCACGACTGCTCATGAAATTGGGGGTGGGTGGGAACAGAAGTGAGGGGCTCTAGGCTGGGGAAGGGGGGAGGTGAGGGCTCTGGGTTGAGAGGGGGATCAGGCCTGGTGCAGGAGGTGGTTCCTAGCCAATGGGAGTTGTGGGGGTAGCACTTGGGGCAGGGGCAGCAGCAGCATGTGGAGCCCCCTGGCTGTCCCCATGCAGAAGGGGGGCATGCCACACACAGAGTTGAGTACACCCACTCCCCTGCTGGAGCTTGAGGACCGGATATGGCCCCCCGGGCTGCAGTTTGCCCCTCCCTGGTGTAAGGCAAGGGTAGGTAAACAAGCTGCATCAATTCAGCCCTCAAGCTCCTGCTAGGGAGCAGAAGCTGGGGTTTGCCTTGCTCTGGCTCTCCCACCAGCAAGCAGGGTCAGGAGCAAAGGGGGCTCTGCAGCTCCTAGTGGCTGGGAACCATGGCCAATGGGAGCTGCAGGGGTGGTGCCTGTGGACAGGGCAGTGCACAGCAGAGCCCCCAGGCCACACCTCTACATTGGAGCTGGAGTGGGGACATGCCACTTCTCCAGGGAGCTGCTTGATCTAAGCACCGCCTGAAGCCTGCACACCTGAACCAACCTCCTGCCCCAACCCTGAGCCCCCTCCCACCCTGCAAACCCCTCCGGCCCAGCCCAGAGCACCCTCTTACACCCCAAACTCCCCTCCTGCACCCTTAACTCATTTTTGTTTGCACCCCAACCAGAGCCCTTACATCCCCATTCCAATTTTGTGAGCATTTATGGCCTGCCATACAATTTCCATACCCATATGTGGCCCTCAGGCCAAAAAGTTTGCCCACACTGGTGTAAGGGAACATGTCTTATTTCAAACCTATTTTAAAAAGTCACAGTTGATATTTATAAGGAAAGTTCATGCTATGTTGCACTTATAGACATCAGTGCTTGGTTATGGTCAATTGAGTCTGGCAATGAATATACTAATGAGTTTTTTAATAAATTCAATTAGTGTTGATTTATATGGCAGTGAATAAACACTTGTCCAAGCATCATCCAGAAGATTCCTTACTTGCGGAAATGTTTGTTCTTTTGTTTAAATATAAATACAATGGAAGTTACTAAGGGCCTTATTTGGCACCTATTAATCAATTGCCAGGTATTGAAGGGCTCACGATTAAGCCCAAAGGAGGTATGTATAGGCTAGACTAAACTCAGGCCTTGTCTACACTATACGGGGGGGGGAGGGGCAGAATCAATCTAAGTTACGCAACTTCAGCTACATGAATAATGTAGCAGCTGTTAACATGCTTAGATCTACTTACCAGGGGGTCCACACTACATTATGTCTCCCATCCACTCCCCTTGTGCTTCTTGGCCAGGTGGAGTACAGGAGTTGAGCAATCTGCAGTCGATTTAGTGGGGCTTAACTAGACCTGCTAAATTGACCGCCGATGCATCAATTACCACACATTGATCCTCAGTAAGTGTAGACAAGGGCACCTTATATCCCTTACCATTTTAGCATTATTTCTTGTATTGAGTTATTCTTGTTACTGTATTCAAAAGAGCTTGCTTATACCCTTTGGGTAAACAAGTTGCTGAAACAAACCACCCAAAAAGATAGCTCACAGGAGAAACTCCAAATAGGATTGCATCCTCTGAACAGGCATAACTACTCAAATTACAGAGTTTAATATTTTAAGTTTTGTTTTCAGATCCACAAGGAAAATGGGATGCGAGTGTAAATTAAGAGACTCCACCTAAGGAAGGATAACAGTGCAGCAGCCAAGTCCATGTTTTTTCTGTCAAACTTCTGACCGTACAGGAATCATGCCAACTGCAAGAGCTGCTGGTGGGTGGGAATGATGTGTCTATCGGGCATCATTGAGCTGCCTTGCAACACTGAGGATACGCTTAGCACCCTTGCTCAGCAGTAAGCTGGCTAGTTCAACACCCAGGTTCTCTGCGGCCTCTTGAGCATGACGAGGAATGTTCTTGGCTGTGATGCCAACATACTGTGTATCATCATTGGGTCCCTCTTCATTCTAAAAAAAAAAAAAAAAAAAAAAAAAAAGATACTGACTGCAAAACAGCAGGGAAACCTGGGGTTAAACAGTAGGTTGCCATATACAGTTTTATAAGCCTTATCAGAGAATATTGTAAAGACGACTAAAGATTAAGGACTGGACTGAAAGAAATATAGTAAAAAGGCCTGTTTTTGTCTTTTTCATTTGACTTGAAGTTTGAAGGTTAAAACCAACTGAAATTAAGAGGCATTTATTTATTTACCTGCTGTGGGTAGTTAACACCAGTCTGCATAGTGTCCTTCAGGCTATCTGATCCATCCAAGCTGTAGACAGCTCCTGTCAAATACAACTGGGCAAAACACAATAAAGGTATGTGGCATCTGTGATGACCAACCCAAGCATCCCCTTTTTAAAAATTAAGATTTCTGATCTGAGGCGGAAACTAGTAAGAGTTGGGGAAACCATTCTGCCATTAACTCCCATGTGCCGTTGGAAAAATTGCTTCCTTTCTGGCTCAGTTTAGGCCTACAGGTGTATTTTGGGGCTTACCAAGATCCTATGCTTAAAGGGGCTAGTCATCACATTATTGATCATCATGGCAGAGCAATCCATGTAACCCAATTGTTGTCATTCCTTAATGGGCCGAAGAGGGTTGCTGTTCTGGCATGGGAAGCTTGCAAGCATGTTGCCTCCGCAACCCTCCTTGCCCAAGAGATAGGAGACAAGTACCATTTGTTTGAAACCATGATTTCTTCTTCGAGTGCTTGTACATGTTGATTCCAATCAGGTGTGTGCGTGCGTACGTGCACAGTAGCCAGAAGATTTTTCCCTAGCAGCAACCATAGGGTTAGCCTGGGAGCCCCCTGGAGTCGCACCCTCATATCGCCCAATATAGAGCCCTGCCGACCTGCCACCCCCTCAATTCCTTCTTACTGCCAGTGACGGTAGCTGTAACTTGCCTTGCTCTGGCAAGTGACCTAGCAGTTTGATTCCTGTTGTACTCACCTTGTTTATTCAGATAGTGTAGTGTAATTTAGTATAGTTAGTTGTTGTGACGATGTGGGACTGTTCTTAATGTTTCCTCTGAATACTGTGTGGGTGCCTCAGTTTCCCCTATGCATTTCTTAAGTCTCCAGTGTGCATAAATGGCCGACACTGTATCCTGGCAACAAATGGTTACTCACCTTCTCGTAACTGTTGTTCTTCAAGATGTGTTCATGTCCGTTCCAATACCCACACTCCTCCTTCTCTGTCGGAGTAGCCGACAAGAAGGAACTGAGGGGGTGGCGGTTCGGTAGGGCTCTATATTGGGCGCCATGAAGGCGTGACTCTAGGGGGTGCCCATGCTGACCCTACGATTGCTGCTACGGGAAAATCTTCCAGCTACCGTGCACGCACACACCTGATTGGAATGGACACGAACAATATATCTCAAAGAACAACAGTTATGAGAAGGTGAGTAACTTTTTTCCTGCATGACAGCACCCTCTATTTAAGTCAGGCTTCCTTTCTGTAGGGTAGTGTTTATATTTAATCTTGGGGAAGTTTTATCTATTATTTATCAAAGGAATAGGCTTTCTAGCCCCAGAAAAAGTTTTATCTACAGAGGGGATGAGAATCACCACTCGTAATTATTGAGAGGGTAAATTAGAAGATTGCTAAGCCTTATCCACAAAGTTCCCTCATGTTTTCCCTGACACAGGGATTTTTTTTTTTTTCTTAGCTGTGTTATTGCTACACTTGTGTTGGCCTTGGTTGTTTGACCCTGCCCTACACAATGTTGTTCTGGTGGATTCAGCGTGGAGATAGCAAGGCTATCCTCAGCTGCCAAGTATGCTTGCTGGAACTATTTTCATGTGGCAGGGAAAAAGTGCATGTTGGAAAAATGCTCAGTGATGAACCCAAATAAAATACATTAAGTTCTGCTCACCTGGGAGTCTTTCAGCATGGAACTGACTGCTACGGGAACACTACATCCACCCTCCTGAAACAAAAAGCACAGCAAACAGGTAAAAGTTGATGTCAAGGTTCCTATGTGACACACCATATCAGGACCCTTTGAAAAGCCTGTAGAACACAGAGTCAGCCATGTACAGAAGAATATCCGTACACACACAATCAGTTAACAGACACTTGAATCTAGTCTGTATTTAGCAGTTGAGGTAACGAAATCTAGCAGGTTTCTGATACCATGGTGTTTAACAATACTACGTAATCATTTACTTCTTCTCCCAGGAAAGAAGTAGACAGAAAAGTGATGGTACCAAACCTACCAGGTGTCTCATAAAGGCTCTCTCAGCAATGCAGCACAGCACCGTTTCCCCATCATGCAAGGCAGATACCATATCCAGTATCTCTTCGTCTCTAGCTCGGACCTCTACTGCTAAGGCACCCTGAAGGAAGAGAGAAACACTGTCCTCAGTCTTCATGCATCTCTAGTCTGCAGTCTGTTAGTCCCAAACCAGTAAACCTGCACTGTAGTGCTCTACCCTCTATACACACGCAAATCCCATTGCTATAACACACATGGCAACAAGATGAAAGCAGAAAGAAAAAGTTGCACATTACTAAACAAGTGAGCTGCAGGATCACAGCTTCAGACTGATTCTTATCAGCTTGTTCTATATAGATGCTGACTCCTACTTTCATTAGTATGCTCTTGAAAGGCCACATCTCAGGAGTAGAATGATCACTTATAACAGTGATGACGTGCTAGCCTTTAATTAACCACAGTACGCTTCCCAAATGCGGCATGCCTACAGAACAGCAGCCAGAAAAGGTGCAGAGTTGAAAACACAGTTGAAATGTTTGGTTGTAACACAGCAACTGGCTACTCCGCTGGCTTTTCATTGCATACCTGCCCAACAGCATAAAGGCAATCTTCAGGGTTTAGGATCTGGAGAAAAAGCAAAGATTAGTTAATATGTTGCAGTGCTAAATCCAAGATTATGTACAAATTTTATTTAAAATGCTCCAAAGAGCAGCAATTCAGGATGAAACGGAAATGATTTCCATAAAGGAAGTGCAGTACAATGGTTATAGCAAGGAAGTGGGAAGTAACAACTCCTGGGTTCTATACCCAACTCTGCTATTGTATGTACTATCTGGGGATGGTCATGCCCCAGCCCTGTGCCTCAATTTTCCTATCCATAAAATGGGTATAATGGTACTTATTTCATTGGAGATTGTAATGTTTTATCAAAATTATCAGATGTTTCTAAAGTGCCTGTTCATGAAGGATTTGGGCACTATAAAGGGCTCTGAAGTTTTCAGATGGACAAATGTTATTGACACATGGAAAGAGTTGTGCTGAATGCATCTTTGGAAGGGAAATGCAGTGAGTGGAACCCTCACTCCAATGCAGCCTAATCTCAAGATAATGCATATATGGATTCAGAGCAGATGTTATGCTCATCCATGATGGGGCAGCTAAGGTTTCTGAAAGGGAATGGGTTAAGAATCTGGAAGTGAGTCGAATTTCCCACTGTGCTTCTCCTCACCTGACCAATACGATTCTCCCAACCCATCCTCCTCAGTCCAGCAGCAGCCAGAATTATGGCACTGAAGTCCTCCTTTTCATCCAGCTTTTTCAAGCGGGTGTTTAAATTTCCTCTCTGCATAAAGGGTTAAGTGAGAAGCACAGAAACAGCAATCTCCAAATTGGGACACTTTGCTTGCAGATCCTAACTCAGCCACTAGAGGCTGCTACTGCTGCAATCACCAAAGGCTGTCACTCCTACAGCTAATCAGCCTGCTCTCTTCCTCTCTGCTTGGGCCTTTCCTCCCTTACCTCTCGTCCCCCAGCAGCAGCAGTTACTCCCCACAGGGGATGGGGCATGCAGTGTCATATACAAGTAGGTCAGGCTTCTGGATCAAACATAGATCAACTACAGAGCTTCCTTCTCTGAGGCTCTCTACACTACCGCGTAAGTCGACCTATGCTAACGTAGCTGGAGTTGACATACCTTAGGTTGAGTTACCGCGGGTGGTCGACGGGAGAAAATCTCCCGTCTACTTACCTTACTCTTCTCGTTGGGGGTAGAGTACAAGGATCGACTAGAGAGCGATCTGCAGTCGATTTGGCAGGTCTTTACTAGACCTGCTAAATCGACCGCCGGTGGATCAATCTCAGAGTGTGGATCCCTGCTGTACTGTAGACCTGCCTTGAGAGAGACACCACAGATGTGTCTTCCAAAAAGATCCTTTAAATACACTGCCAGGTATGGCTGGGTTAGCTTAAACAAGGTATGTTATGCACGGGGCCACCTACTGGCTGAGAAGTATAACACAGTGTTCCAAACATGCAGCAAAGCACTACGGAAAAGGGGAAGATTCCCCCACAGAATGAAAGGAAAGGGGGAACTTTAGTAAGAATGAGAACTCAAGAGAGGTGGGGCTGGGGGAAGCAGGCCTGCCATCTGCTCCTGGAGCAAGACTGCTGCAGTACACTGCAAAAGTACTGATACACAGTATACTGCATAAGTACTGATCACTTGAAGAGAAGGAAGCCACCAAGATTTCCTCCGGACCTAAAGAAGCCACCAACAGATTGGGGGGAGTTTGAGGTGTGTGGGGGGGGGGGGGGGGAAGGAGAGTAAGCAGTGGACTCCACAGGTTCAGAGAGACGCCACACTAACTTGCTTTTCAAGAACATTTGGGTCTCTCCCAGCATTGCTGTAAGATGGATTTTCCCAAGGTTGATGCATATTTGTGCTCTCCTAGGGTTTTTCAGTTTGGGTCAAAAGCATCACCAGGTACTGATACGACACCATGATGCAACCAGATGGGACGAGGAAGGCAGGAGCCAAAGGAGAGTGGACTTCTAAGAACAGCCTGAAAATAGTACCATTCACCAGAACGTGCCAACAGGCCTTGTGGGGCCCTAGCTGTCTCCAGTCACTTGCATAATTGAGTTGAGGAACTATCCTGGAAAACTTGTTCAGATGGTGGCAGATGGAATTTTGCTGTGAGCTGTGAAGTAATCATTTGGACACTGGCTCTTTGGGGCTGGGACTGTGGACATGTCTCATGCAGCACTGAACATGTCAGCAGCTGACAAATAAAAATTGTGCAGAATTAAAAAATAAGTTAAAGGGACAGAGACTGGGACAACAGAGCCTTTCACTGCTGGTCTGAATCCCACCCAAGCCATTAGTGCCTGAATTGGAATGAGTTGTGTCTCTTATGCCAGTTCCTCCTGTGAAGTGTATCTGCCTCTGAGAAGCTAGACTAATATTGGGCCCTTTCTCAGCGGAAAATACAGGGATTGAATGGGCCTGGGAGAGTAAACTCCACTCTCATAGTAGTTTAGGAAGGCAGCATGAAGTTAGTTTGAGCAGAGGACTGGAAGTCAGGAAGCCTGGGTTCTAATCATAGCACCAAAGTGCTAGAGAAAAGCCAACTGTTATTTATTGAGATACCACGCCCGCACTCTGCCAGGAAAGGATACAATATCCTTGAATTCCAGCTGAGGGAACCGCCTTTTGAGCTGAGCTGCTCGCCGAAGTGAACTGGTTCCAATCACGCTTCAGAGGAAACAAAACAAAAAAAAACCCAGTGAAACAGAATTGGATTCATTCACTCACCTTTAGCTGGGGACAGGTTAGGAGCTTCCAGGGAAACACACACTACCTTTTTAAACTAGTCACAGAGCATTTGGGGATCTATCCATCATTCATATTGGCAGAAGGAAAAATGGAGAGATTTAACATGAGGCCTAACTAAATCTAGATATAACCAGACTACCTAGTGGGTGAAACAGTCTCTGTGGTAGGTTGTTAGGCCTTTGCAAAGCAGTCATTAATCCTTGTTACGGATCTCTGACTCCTCAGTGGGTCACCATCTACAGAATGTAGCAATCCCCAAGCCCTATTTTCTATTTTGATAACTGGAATAAACTGGTTTGGAAAGCAGGGATAGCAGTCCTGGATCACGGAACACATGTCTGGGTGTGCAAGGTGAGGTCTGATAAATAGGTCCTGGAAAGTGCAGAGGGAGAGCTCTCTTGACAGCACCATGTATATCTGGACATCAAGGGGGGCTGCCAGTCTGACCAGAGAGAGGACTACTTTCAAGGGATGTATGCTACTCACTTTTCTTTTTATCCCATAAAAAAAGATGACAAGTCATCTCTAGTTTAGCCTGTGTGAAGTGTAAATCTACATCTGTGTAAATCTAAATCTGAAGCAAACAATTTATTTTCTTTTATTTCTATTTTCTGTGTTTTAATTAAGATTACGGACATCTGGGTAATTTCAACACAGACATCCCCAAAGAGAAAGGAACCCTGTAACCTCTAAGGAGAGGGACTTAAAGAGTAAATAATTTCTGGAACTAGCCCCCCATCTCAGGGCTTGTACACACTAGTGCTTGTAGTGGTATAACTTAAGTCACTCAGGGTGTGAAAAAGCCACCCCACTGAGCGATGTGAGTTAGCACTGTCCACACTGGTGCTTAGGTCAGTGTATGTTAGTGGGAGACACTCTCCTACCGACACAGCTACTGCCGCTTGGGAAGGTGGAGTAATTATGCCGACGGGAGAGCTCTCTCCCGTCGGCATAGACTGTCTGCACTAGCAGCGCTACAGCAGTGCAGCTACATCAGTAGACCTGCACTGCTGTAGTGATTCTAGTGTAGACTAGTCCTTAGTCTGAGTCAAGAAGCATGGACAGAAAAGTCTGCTCCCACTGAGTCGTGTTACCATCAGAGTGGAGTAGGTGAATGCAACCGGAGAAGCCAAAAGACCGAGGAGAGGGAGTTGGCTGTGGTGTGGGTCACAAAAACACTGGGCCAAGTTCACCCTGCTTTAAGTCCCTTGACTTCAATGGAGATCCAACAAAGCTGAATGTCCTCTGTGTCAGTCAGGAGAGGGAGGAGGATTTTAGTGTGCAGAGTGCTTTGAAGATATGAAGTACTAAGAATTCATTCTGGGGGTTGTGGAGGATTTAGAAAATGTCAGACCTCAAAGCATGACTGGAGAGATGAGAGGTCAGCTCTCGCTCATTTATTCAACAGCAGCAATTCTTTCCCATAGCGATAATTATGGTTCCTGGGATTCTTATTAAGTTTTTATTCCTTTATTGCTAATTCCTACAAATGGTTCACTTTAACTTTAAAAAAAAAAAAAAAAGACGACACACACTGAAAACACCTCTTAATCTGTGCAAAGGACAGATGAAAGTCTGGATGTTAACTGTATTAACACAGGGAGTTCACAAAGAATAGTGAAGAGCAGGCAGTTTTGGTATTGAGAAGTCTAAGCCTATCCCTTTTCACCACCCCATTTCTTCAATAACAACTCTCCCATCCCCTCACCTCTTTTCAGGAAGGCTGTTGAGGGTTTTCCCATAGTTCTTGGGATGAAAAACGACAGCATCATGGGGGTTTTCCCTTCTACAAAGAAATACAGTGTAGACAAGACATCATTCCATAGGATGTGGTTAAATGGAAACAGTTCTGCTCATGGTCCTTAGTGGAGGTGCCTCTAACTTCCTTATTCTTAGTCCAATACAGGGAGCCTCTTTTTTCCTTTTCCATTTTTCCTTCTAATTAATCTAGAGCTGGTGAAGGTGCTGGTTTGACAATTCTAGACAGTCGATTCTCTACTCATCTACAGAGCAGGCACAGCACAAGCCGCGGAAGGGCAAGCTTCCCAAAGGCACCACCCTCTGTCAACATGCTTAATCCTGACCTGGAGCCCACCCAACCCCTCTTTAAGAAAAAGAGAGGGGGGGGGTTCAGTCTTCACAGCCCATGGTATTTGGGCTCTCGCTCTCTCCTGAGACAGGCAACAAGATGACAAGCACAGTGGCAAGTTGTGCAATACAGTTACCTACACAAAGGGAAATAGATTGAGACCGACCAAACTCATCACACAGGATGCCAACAGTAAAGAAATGGTCCTTCTGGGGATTTTAAAACCGCTCAGGAAGTCAGGCCTCTCAATGCACACTTACTTGCAGATGGCCCCAATGGTGAAGCCAGGCGGGAGCGAAGTTGGCAGGTCCTTCAAGGAGTGAACAACCAGGTCAACTCTACAAGTCAGAGGAGAGAAAAGTCAGAGCATGGTGTGGGTGAAGGAGCCCATGGGGCACCTGCAAGATGCCTGCAAATGATCTGAGAAATAAAAATTCCACACTGGACTTTAGTCTAGAAAGGGGGGCTGGAAATTAGGAATCCTGGGTTCTATTCCCAGTTCTACTAATTCACTGTGCAACTTTAGACAGGTCACTTCATCTCTCTGTGCCTCAGTTTTTCCATCTGTAACATTATGATGTCTATCTCCCGGGGGTGCTACATCATAAATATTTGCAAAGTGATTTGAAGAGCCTGGTGTGGGTGCTGAAGACCCCTGGGCACATTGCACAGACACCCATCACCCTTGCAGGACACAGAGCTCAGTGGATCCGACAGCCCAGTCAGATTTAAATAACTACTTTTCAGTTAGCAGCAGCCCAGAGCTCGAGCTGCCTGCATCACTTCATACCACTGACATGGCCATCAAAAAAGGGCTTGAATCCTTAGAGCCTGAACTCACTGGGAGTATTTCCACTGACTTCAGTGGGAATTAGATCAGCCCTTAGATGATGAGGACCCAAAGGGGAATCTTTAATTTTAATCCAAATTGAGACAAGTCCCTTGATCCATGTGCATCCCATACCCTCGCTGGAACATGAGGTAAAAAACAGCAGTCTCCCTCAGTCACAACTGACATCTGAACCCAGGTTTCCCACAGAAATAAGTTACCCCAAAAGAGGCTTAACCCTAATGCTTCCAGTTCTCCTGCACTGTTGGTAGTGAGTACAATTAACAGGCAGGAGGCTTTGGAGACTGTTTAATGCTAACCGTGAATCTGAGGCATCTACTGAAATGTCTGAATTCAAAGTGTATGTGGCCACTCAGTGGTGTGTATGTAACAAATAATACTGTTGCTCTAAAAATACCACAGGTTGCAGGGAATTGGTTCAACCAACACAAACATTACTGATTGACATGACACATTTTTCCTTCAGCCATGTAAGCCCAACTAAAACAGTCAGGGGAAGGAGACAGAGACTATGGATAGCACATTTCACAAGCCTATCATTCTCTAAAATGTTCTAAAAGAAATTTGAATTACAAACAAGCCACTAGAGCAGGCCTGCACAACATGTGGCCCAGGGGCCACGTGCGGCCCACGTGGGCTCACTGTGTGGCCCGCGGGGGGTGAGTAGGCAAGCGGCGGGTGAGGGAGGGGGGCTGAGGAGGCGAGCGGGCGGGTAGCGGCGGGGGGGCAGGTGAGCAGGGGGCTGAGGAGGCGAGCGGGCAGGCAGTGGCAGAGGTGCAGGTGAGCCGGTGGTGGGGGAGGGGGGCTGAGGAGGCAAGCGGTGAGTTGGTGGCTGAGCTGGTCTACTGATCTGGTCTGGCTCCCATCCCCTCTCCAAGGGTTGCAGCTGTCTGGAGGTGCCTGCCTTCCATGCCTTCCTCATTCACACCTCATTCATTCAACAGGGCAATTGATTACAAAGTGGGGGGGAAGATCTTATTCTACTTCTAGCAAAAAGACATTTTTCTTTTACCTTAATTATACTACCTTAGGAGCCCGCTATAACATATTACAAAGATTCAATACTGCTGTTTTGGTGGGGTGGCGCTGGGGAAGGAGGGTTTGTTTCCGTGGGGCGGGCAGCGCTGGGGGTGTGTGTTGTGTGTTTCAGGGGGGTTCGGCGGGGCCGGGGGGTTCGGCCCTCAGCTGTTTTCTTTGGAGTAATATGGCCCTCGCCGCTTTACGAGTTGTGCAGGCCTGCACTAGAGTGTGAATGCTTGTCTTGATTTCAGATGCAGACAGAATCTGCAGCACTGCCCGGGCCATTCCATGGCTTTCAGTAAGCAAGAGAAAGGTTCAGAGCTCTTACTCATTTCTTTCCAGTGCATTTTCCAGCTCCTTGGTAAAGAGGCTCTTCTCTCCAATCTAAACAGGGAGGGAGGAACATGAAGCATATTACCAACGTAGTCACATATAGCCTCACTCAATTCAAAGGAGGAAGAGGTCATTTACCTTGGAAAGAGCAGTGTCCAGGATCTTGTCTCCAGTTGTTGACATGGCAACTGTTCAAAGAGAGAGCTTTTTAAGAGCAGCGATACAGAGAGATCGGATAGGCCCAGACTCTGTAAGTCTCTGTGCGGTATGCAGCAAAGGGGTACATGGCTGCTGCATTCTAGTGCCGGTGTGAATGCAAGCTCCATGTAGCAGGAATATTCTAGCAGTACTCTGCACTAAGCAGGAGTAAAGATTAGGTCTTCTGGAAGTGTGCTGCCTTATTCCCAAGAGCACAGAGTAAGGAAAGGGAAGGCCATGAGTGTGTGTGTGTGTCTGAGGACAGTAGTTTTAAGCAGGATCCTCATCACACTAACAAGACACTTTGCTTTGAGCACCATCTCTGGCCTCACTCCTGCTACTGGGCAGGTGCTCAGCAGCCATCCAATCAATGCAGCATTGGGCTCCTGACTGCTCCCGGTCTGGTTTATATAATTTTTTACTTTGCATTTGAACATGAATATATGGTGCATCTAGCTTGGAGCCAGACTAATGCATGGTTACTCTATGGAGTGACAGTATCATAATCTGTATAGAAACTTGGGAACTCAATGCTCAGCAGTACATGGAATCCATCCTCTCCTTGCTCTGCAGACATTAGCATCTCTTGTCCAGTCACATTCGGATTCTCCACTTATGCAAACGCCACAATCTCTCTTCCTTGGGCCAAGGGCTTCTTGCATAACAGATAATTACACATCAAACCATCCCACTCCAGCTGCTCCCTGCCTCTGAGCAACATTTGAACACCTACCAATCTCAAAATGAAGGTTGAGGTATCGCTTGCGGAGCATTTCCACTACACTGTCTGTCTGAATCCGGGCCAGCTGCAGTTTAAAAACAGAAGGCAAAGTCCCATGTGAGATGGCATGTGTTCAATACATCAGCCAAAGGAAGCTTTTCTATTCTTAGACATAGTCAAATGCACTCACCAAAGCCTCCAAAACACAAGCATTAATGCAAATAAATAGAAGTCCTAGCACAGTGCTACACAAACCCTACCCCTGCATAATGATCACAACACCCAACAGAAGACAGTATTACCATCCCTGCTTTACAGATGGAGAAACAGAATTGGAGTGACCTGCCCCATGGTAAGACTGTGAGTCAGTGGTAGGGTCAGACCAAATTTCTTCAGTTAGAAGTAGTGGTTCAAACAGGGGACTGGAAGTCAGAATTCCTGGGTTCTATTTTCAGCTCTGCCACTGACTTGCTATGTTCTGTGGCCAGCCATTTCAGCTCTTTGTGCCTCAGCGACATTATGTTTAAAGTGGAGATGGTATTTACCCACCTAATTGGAAGGGCTGTGGCTTACTATCTGTGAAGTGCCATCACTGGGTGAATGGAACTATAGCAGTGGCTCTCAAACTTTTTTTACTGGTGACCCCTTTCACATAGCAAACCTCTGAGTGCAACCCCCTTTATAAATTAAAAACACTTTTTAATATATTTAACACCATTATAAATGCTGGAGGTAAAGCGGGGTTTGGGGTGGAGGTTGACAGCTCACAACCCCCCCATGTAATAACCTCGTGACCCCCTGAGGGGTCCCGATCCCCAGTTTGAGACCCCCTGAACAAGAGAAACACTATGATGTGCTTTTGTAATTTTTAAAGTGAGTCAGACTAAGCATTGTGCACAGTACTAGAGAATAGGTCTTGCAGTAAGGGGCACCCATTGTTATAACAAAGGCAGACTAAATAGCCTGGCGATTCCCACCTCAATCAGCGATGAGCTAAAATGCATCATATCTGCTCTGTGCTTTTTATGAATGCTAAACTTTACCATTGCAGTGTGATCCTGCAAGGAGCCAGAATTACGATTTGTCTGCAGGAATTGTGTTCTATATGAGCAGAGGTATGTCAGAAAGTTGTGCAGAAGGAGAACAGCAGCAGCTCAATACAACAGACAGAGCAAGCCGCAGGGTTTGGAGGCTGCAAAGGCCCAGGTACCTGTAGATGGGACACATTTAATTTACACTCTGGAAGGGGAAGAACAACATAAAATAGTCCACCACCACTATCCTACTCAAGCAGAAGGCAGAGGATCCCTCCATAGATCCTGACCCTGTGAGGGGCAATGTAGTCTAGTAGTCACAGCTGAAGATGAACCAGGAAGCCTAGTTTCTAATCTTTCTCTGCTACTGATGCTCTGAGTGGCCCTGGGCAAGTCATGGGTTTCCACATGTGTAAAATGAGTCCAACGAACTTCCCTTTTGTAAGGTGCTGTGAGACGCTGGGTGAAAGGCACAGGTGCTATAAGTGCAAAGTGTTGATAATAATTGTTAATAGATTAGGAGATCGCACACGGTGGAGAAAAGCAACGTCCCACCCTTCAATGCCCATCTGTCTCATCTTCTAGCCTCCTGCAAAGTACAGAGCCATGCCTGCCCCTGACTTCCAGAGTAGGCAAGATTATCTCAAAACAAAGGCCCAAGGCACATTTATCTCTCTTTGCAAACATGCTCCTCCCAGCTGCAGCTAGATAGCAAGAAAGACCCAATGTATTTCCTATATCCTCCCTCCCAGGCTTTTGTGAGTGTCAACGCAGCCGAAGTTTTGTCTCCATATAAGATATTTGGTTGTTGGATATAGCAAAATGAAGACACAAAGGGAGTCTACTGAAAGAGGCGTGCAATCACTTCCCTGTTTCTTGAGCTACTCCATGAGCTTGGTGCTGATGGAATGTGCCAACTGACAGCCATTGGGACTAAAGTTCTGTTTATTCAGAATGGATACAGTCCAGGTGGCATCAAGGAAAGCTTCTCCCACATAGCTGTAACAACATGCCTCAGTCCCGACATGGAGGATCCCCTGCAGGAGAGCTCAGTCTCATGGCCCATTGAACCTTGGGCCTTCCTACGGGGACTGCCAACAAGGATGCCTATTATAGTGCAACTCTGATGACAGAATACAGTTATTTCTAATTCACAGAGGTCACTCTTTGGCAAAGATATCATTACTCCAGTCTAGGGTCACTTTCTGAGGAGGACTTGGGCTTTTTGGTTTGAGAAAGATAGCTCATCTGCATAAACAAATATAAGTACATTTATTTCCATCTAATAATACTTTGTGCTTAATCCAAGGATCTTAAGGTGCTTTACTAATATGAATGAATGAAACCTCACGCCCCAGACCTTCTGTGAAGTATCCACAAATTGTCCCCATTTTACAGATGAGAAAATAGCAGCACAGATAAATAAAGAGCATAATTTTCAAGAGTGTTCACTACTTTGGGTGCTTAAACTTGAAACATCTGGATCCCAATTTGCATCCGCACCTTCTAGTGACTTGAGAGAACTCAGGACCTCTGAAAGTCAGGTGCTAGGTACTTAAGGTTGGGCACCCAAAGCTAGAGGCCACTTTTGAAGATTGGCCCTAAGAGACTTGCCATAAATCACACAGTGAGTCAGTGGTAGAGATGGGAACAGAACAAGGGAATACGGATTCCTAGTCTTTCACTCTGACCACTAGACAACACTTCTCTATTGAACAGGAAGCCTGATAGATGCTGTACTTCATTTGGGTTTATATATAAATTATGTAAAGCCTCCGCTCAAATGCGATTGTAAGATCTGTAACTTGTATCATTAAGTTCTGCAACCTTTTTGCAGACTTTGTAACTTCAGTTATTGTTAGCATAGCATTTTAAGTTTTGTAACCTTTGCAAGCTCTGTAACCTTTTCAAGTTACCACTTGTATGAACTTCCAAGTAATATCCCATCCCTCAGAGTGTGTGTGAACGAGGGAGTGTGAACAAGGGAGTGTATGTGAGACTGGGCGGAGAGGAACTGCAAGGAGAAAGGAGCCCAGAGACAGAAGCCAGGTGTGTCTGATATAATCTGCCCTGAGAAGGCAATCACGTAGTGCTGTAAAGAGAAGAACCTGGGATGCATGAAAGGAGCTGGTCTGGGAATGCTTCTCGGTGATGGACACAAAAGGAAAACTCAGTGTACGTGACAGGAGCCGCCCAATTCCAGAAAAATGAAGCAGCCATGCACACCAGCAGCTGCTGCTCCTTGACCTGCTCAGCAGCCTGGATTCGTGACCGCAGGCGGACACACCAGATCCACCACGCTTCGGCTTCCCGGTCTCCATGCTGTCTCCGGTAACTCTCCGCCTGTGTAAGTGTGTGGGTGCATGAGGGTATGAATGCGGTGAACATGTGCATGTACGAATAAGCTCCATCTCTTTTCTATCTGACCCAACAGCAGCATTGTAATAAAACTAATACAAGTGTGACCCTGGGTTGGTTTTTAGGGGAACAGAGGTAACAAATAATCGAGATACACACTTATTTACAGAGGGTAACTGCTGTACATCATATTTTTAAAGTTGAAATTAGACACCCAGATTTTCTACTTTTAGGAGATGCAGCTACAGGGTCTCAAGACACAATTGTCCCCGTTGAATAGAGACTCAGCAATATGGCCACACCAGAACAGAGGCTCATGCAATAAGCAGAAACTCACCTGACTCTTCCTGGTGCCCACTCGGATAACTCTGTTTTTCAGGCCATTTTCATCCTATGGACAATATGTTTCATGTATTTTAAAAATTAAAGCAAATCCCCCAAATCCATAATTGTGGAGGTTTTCTTTCCAGTGCTCTCTGCCAACTCAGAGCTCATTCCACCGTAGCTAAACGTGTTCCCCAAGTGGCAACCACATCTTCCTAAACTGAGCAAAATATCAAATATTTAAACTAACACAAGAGTAGGTTTGCAAAGACTGTAAACTCCTGTTGGGAAATGTGCAGCACCTCCCAGAAGGCACTCACTGTCTTCCAGTATTGGGCCCTAGAGCTCAATTCTGTAGACACTACTAGACATAGCACACACACTACTGGGAACAATCCTATTGACTTTTGTAGTAAGCGTTTGCAGGGTTGGAAATCATGTGTGTTGTATTATTAAGTCTTTAAATGTTCAGCTATTCACAAAAAGTAATTAAGAAGAGCACTTAGTCCTTATATAGAACTTTTCACTTTCAAAATGCTGTGTAAATGTTAACTAACAGCTGCATATTTATGGACGTCTTTAAAAAATGATCAAACTTATCTTAATTAATACCCAGCTAGGACTGATCTATTCAGTAAATGGCAGAATTAGAGGGGAAAGTGGTATAATCCCTTTACTCTCTCACCCTCTCCTTTTGATTTAAGCACTATATTTTAACTAAGACAACCAGTGCAGAGACCACAACCTTAGGAACATTTTACTTGTAATTGTTTTCTAAAAATGGGAAAGTAATATTGTTTGATTTTTGTTTTCTCCCACCCCCTTAAAACTGTAAAGGGCAGGTGAGTAGATTTTAAACCTGGCCTATTAAATTATCCCGACAGATTTGCAGAGCTGAGATATACACACTATTTTATTATGAGATATATAATTACCATGAACAATCTAAGCCCTGAAGAATGCAAAGTCCGTTCCTTTACCTGAGTGTTCCTCAGTGTCTTGTTCTCCATCGCTATGGACTTTTCCAACCCCAATGCCTGTTATGTGAAAGAGAAGAAGACGCTCCTTGAACTGGGAAAGAGGAGAGGAGGGAAGTTATTGCCTCTGCTGCCTAGCACAGTGTGTGCCAGACCATGTGCTAGAGAGAAGGGCTGTTCCATTTGTAACCCAGACCCTTCTGGTGGAGCATGGACACACAGATAAGAGGTGACAGGCATGCTACAGTATGTGCTGCACTAGGAGATTGGGAGGGAAAGGCCTTCAGAAAGCAGGGATGGGTGTGACCAGCATTTAGGAATGGAGGTTACCAGTTCTGCAGAGAAGGAAATTCAGCTGCAGGAGCTGCCTCAGCAGAGCTGTCCAGCTTCTGTACGGAAAAAAAATTGTGCTGAATCACTAGGAAGAAGGCCTTCTCTCCCTCAATGACACCAGCCCAAGCCCTTTGCTGCCTGCTATACCCCCAGATCTGTGTACAGCATCTAATGCATTACCCAACAGAACAGTCACAAGGTGGGTATTTTCATAAGTGAACCATGATCATTTTCACCAAGATATTATTTCGTGGGAGAGGGACACAACATGTGGCTTCATACAAAGCAGAGACTCCAGCTCTATCACCCATCCTCAAGGCAACGGAGCACAATTTCCTTGAAACTATCACAAGCTATGTGGATTGACAAAGGGCAGTGAGCCAAGAGACCTGGGCTTTATCCAGAACTCGGCCATCAATTCGCCTTGTAACTTTGAGCAATAATTTAACTACTCTTCCTCAATTTCCCTTTCTATAAAATAGCTCCTTGTAAAGTGCATTTGATTTTTTTAATTGGACTGGTATTATAAAGGCCTCATGTACTAATGGGCAGGGTTAAAAACTCATTCTTATCTCTAAGCTCAGAAGCGGTCTCAGCCCAGTGGAAAACCACTTGTGTTGAAACCTTTAACGGACAGCAGGGTTAATAAAAATACTCAACCCTTACACAAAACTGTGCCTTCAGTGTATTAACTAATTTGGTTTCAACATCAATAATTTGGGACCTATTGCTTCCTTAATCTAGGATTCTAAATACAGACATATATTCGTAGATTACAATTATTAAAATATGTACAATCTTTAGTTTTCATAGTTGGCTCAGTCTACTCGCAGGTACCATGAACAGTGTTCATTTTAGCAGGTGTATGGTTATACATCCAAAGAGAAACAGTCAATAGAAAAAGATTCTCATTTGATCACATCACATGAAGGCAGACAACTAAATACTGACAAATTTTATAGGTGCTTGCATACAAATGCAAGAAGTCTAAATGTTAAGATCGGTGAACTTGAGTGCCTGATGTTAAACGAGAATATTGATGTAACAGGAATCACAGAAACTTGGTGGAATGATGACAAATCAGTGGGACATTGTAACACCAGGATACAAAATATACAGGAATGACAGAGTAGGTTGTGCTGGTGGGGGAATGCCACTATATGTAAAAGAAAGCACAGAATCAAATATAGTAAAAACCTTAAATGAACCAAACTGTACCATAGAATCTCTATGGATAGAAATTCCATGTTTGAATAATAAGAGTATAGCAGTAGGAATGTACTACCGACCACCTGACCAGAATGTTGATGACGGTAATTGTGAAATGCTCAGGGAGATTAGAGAGGCTATAAAAATAGAAAACTCAATAATAATGGGGGATTTCAAATATCCCCGTATTGATTGGGTTCATGTCACCCCAGAAGGGATGCTGAAATAAAGTTTCTAGACACCATTAGCGACTGCTTCTTGAGGCACCTAGTCCTAGCACCACAAGGTTAAGAGGTAATTCTTGGTTTAGTCCTAAGCGGAGCACAGGATCTGGTCCAAAAGGTGAATACAGCTGAACCACTCAGAAATAGTGACCATAGTGTAAATAAATTTAACATCCTTGTAGGGAGGAAATACAAAAGAAGCCCACCATAGTAGCATTTAACTTCAAAAAGGGGAACTACACAAAAATGAGGAAGCTAGTTAAATGGCAGTTAAAAGGAGTGCATGGAAACTTTTTAAAAACCACCATAATAGAGGTTCAAACTAAATGTATATCCCAAAGGAAAAAATAAACCAGTAACAGGAGCAAAAAAATGCCACCATGGCTAAACAAAGTGAAAGAGGCAGTTAGAGACAAAAAGGCATCCTTCAAAAACTGGAAGTGAAATCCTACTGAGGAAAACAGAAAACAACAAACTCTGGCAAGTCCAGTATAAAAGTATAATTTGACAGGACTAATTAGCAACTAGCAAGACACACAAGACTAACAGTCAGTTTTTTTAAGTACATCAGAAGCGGGAAGCCTGCCAAACCACCAGTGAGGCCCCTGAACGAATAAGATGCTAAAGGAAGACAAGGCCATTGAGGAGAAAATCAATGAATTCTTTGCATCCCTCTTCACTGCAGAGGGCCTGAGGAAAATTCCCACACATGAGCCATAAAAATCTGAGGAACTGGCCCAGATTGTGGTGTCAGTGGACAAGGGTTTGGAGCAAACTGATACATTAAACAGAATTAAATTGCCAGGGCCAGATGGCATTCACCCAAGAGTTCGAAAGACATTCAAATATGAAATTTCAGAACCACTAAGTGTAGTATGTAACCTATTGCTTAAATCAGCCTCTATATCAGATGACTGGAAGATTGCTAATATAATGCCAATTTTTTAAAAAAGGCTCTAGAGGTGATTAGGGATGTAAAAGGTTAAATGGTTAACCAGTAAGTGGCAGCCACCCTGGAGGAGCCCCAGCCCCAGCTACCCAAGCCCTCTCCCTTTCATCGGTTAACTGATGAAACGATATAATTTTAATAGTTTAGATGGTAAATTTTTTAAATGGTATTTACATCCCTAGAGGTGATCCTGGCAATTACAGGCCGGTAAGTCTACCTTCAATACCAGGTAAATTGGGTGAAACTATAGTAAACAAAATGATTATTTGACACACAGATGAACACAATTTGTTGGAAGAGTTAACATGCTTTTGTAAAGAGAAATCACATCTGACCAATCTATTAGAATTCTTTGTAGGGGTCGACAAATATTTGGACAAGGGTGATTGAGTGGATACAGTGTACTTGGACTTTGAGAAAGCCTTTGACAATGTTCCTCACCAAGGCTTTTAAGCAATGTAAGCAGTCATGGGATAAGAGGGAAGGTCCTCTCATGGATCAGTAACTGATGAAAGAACAGGAAACAAAGGTTAGGAATAAATGGTTCGTTTTCACAGCAGAAAAAGGTAAATAGTGGGTTACACCAAGGATCTGTATTGGGACCTATGCGGTTCCACATATTCATAAGGCCATGAACAGTGAGGTGTCAAAGTTTGCTGATGATATAAAGTTACTCAAGATAGTTAAGTCCAAAGCTGACATTGAACATTTACAAAGGGATCTCTCAAAACTGGGTTACCGGGCAACAAAATGGCAAATGAAATTCAATGCTGATAAATGCAAAATAATGCACATTGGAAAACATATCTCAACTACATGTACAAAATGATGGGTCTAAATTAGCTGTTACCACTCAAGATAGATCTTGGGATCTTCGTGGAAAGTTTTCTGAAAACATCCATATGCAGCGGTCGTCAAAATAGCTAACAGCCTGTTAGGAACCATTTGGAAAGGGATAGATAAGAGAAAATATCATAATGTTACTATAAATCCATGGTACGCCGACATCTTGAAAACTGCATGCAGTTCTGGTTGCCACATCTCAAAAAAGACATATTAGAACTTGAAAAAGTACAGAGAAGGGCAACAATGATTAGGGGAATGCAACAGCTTTAATATGAATAGAGATTAAAAAGACTGGGACTGTCATACAATTTAGAAAGTAAGTGACGAAGTGGAGATACGATGATGTCTATAAAATCATGAATGGTGTAGAGAGAGTAAATAAGGAAGTGTTATTTACCACTTCACATAACACAAGAACCAGGCGTCACCCGATGAAATTAACAGGCAGCAGATTTAAAAGAAACATAAGTACTTCTTCAAAAATTGCATAGTTTACCAGTGGAACTCGTTGTCAGGGGATGTAGCCAAGGCCAAAACAACAAATGGTTTTAAATAGGAATTAGATAAGTTCATGGACAATAGGTCCATCAATGGCTATTAGCCAAGATGGTCAGGAACGCAACACTGGGTGTCCCTAAACCTCTGACTGCCAGAAGCTGGGACTGGTTGACAGAGGATGAATCACTCAGTAATTGCCCTATTCTGTTCATTCCCTCTGAAGCATCTACCACTGGCCAATGTCAGAAGACAGGATAATGCACCTGATGAACCATTGGTCTCACCCAGTATGGCCACTCTTACGTTTAACCACAATAACCATCTCTGTCCCTACACCACAAATGGGCCTCTCCTCAGCCCTGCAAGCCTCACAAAGCGGAAAGGTTAAATCTCTGGAAGGAGATGTCAAATCATTCTGTGGCAAGGGCCAAATTTAATTTTTAATTACAGTCCACAGGTCAAATAACATGTTCAGGACAACACGCTCCCCTCGATGCACAGACCTTCCACTGAGATCAATGGCAGGTTACCACAGAGATCAGTAGTAGAATCTGGCTTTTACATAACACAACTGTCAGTAATTATTTGTTCAGTCCCTTATTGTCACATTCAGCCTCACGCAACAGGGAAATCTGCTCCCCTTCAGCTACACCGTTATTTCCGCCCTTTGTTTCCCTTCCCGCCTTATCCTCCTTTCTCTGTTTCCATCCCTCAACCCGGTCTTCAGGTATTTCCTCCTCTCTTCCCTCTGCATTTCTTTTTTTAGCAGCAATTCCCACCTCCTTGGGTTTCATTCTCACCTCCTTCCCCATACCACTCACTAACTGGTCATCAATTACATAATTAATGCTTACATTCAAGTGTCATAACAAGGCTTAAAAATTAATACTCCAATGAGATTAATGGGAGAGTTCACAACTCTCAAAGCTATTGTGTCTCAGACTGTCTGCAGATTCAGGAAGATTATAAACTGATGCATTCTTTTTGGTTCATATTTGAGAAGTTTACTTCACAGCCACAAGGACTAGAAACTTTTTTTTTTTTTTTTTTTTTTTACATAAAATCTTAGATTCTGCCACATCTGAAAATAAATCCAACACAAGGAAGAAGGTTTTTGACCCCTCTGCTCTAGACAGTGGCATATTTCACCTGCTATGCTCCTCACCAGGTAAATGTCATAAGTGCCTGCAAGGCTAGTTGTTCCTTCCACTCCATGCTGTCCAAAGCCCTATACAGGTTTGCATAAGATACTAAGTTGTCTGCAATGCCTGGGCTGTTCAGAGAAGCTGTTAGCTCATCTGCTATATAACTCACTTACAGACAAGGTCAGGGAAGTCACATCTTCTATTGGTCCCTCACCCACCTTGTCTCTCCAATATCCTGGGAGCAACAACGCAATGACGTACTGCCAACATATAACTCACTTGTCCAAAGTTCTGGCTTCTCAACCTCTAATCTGTGGAGCTTTTACAAATCTGAAGCCATAAAACAGATTAAGAAGGTGGCTTGCCTCAAGTTTGGTCTGAGTATCCTTCTCCTGAAGCGCATGGATCTTCCCATCTCTAGTCAGCACGTAGAGAGACCCCCACTCTGCTAAGACATCCACCACGTCATCGAAGACCGAGCTGTACGCAATGAACTTGTTACACAGGTCATAGACATTCAAGATTCGCTTGTCAGAGTTCTGTGGGTCGCTCCCAGCAAACTCTGATCTGGATACCAAAAGAAAGAGGAAGAGATTAACACACGTGCCCCTGGATTTCTGAATCACATTCTAAACAGCGTCTCCTTAACACACTTAGAGCCGGGATACAAACCTTTGAACAACCATGTGAGTCCATATACTAGATGGGAGAAATCATATCTGAGTTATAAAAGGGTGGTGACAGATGACACTGGATCTGGATGGTGGTGCATGCCGGGAGCAATGACTGGATTCTGTAGATTCAGCTGAATTCATAGCAGCCTTTGCCAGGACTCAAATACCAATCACATGCCACAGTAATGTCAGTCAACTCCTGGGATGATTCTCGGGGTGCCTAGGACTGAGAGTCACCTTATTACCCACTCTGCCTCCAGCTAGAGAGAGACTTGCTGCTGCTTAACTGGGTGTCAGCTCCCTGACACTTCTAGCCTGTTAGCTCCCAAACCGTCTCCTCTGGGCTATATCCCCTTTACTTTGCCTTGCAGGTTAATGACAGGTGCACTCCAGTCCCCAAACCACTTTGAAGCATTCCCCTGTAGTGTTCAGCTCCTTAATGATGGAACACTCACAGTAATAAGAGATTTTTTGTCCCTAAGACAACAGTGTACACACCATCTTGAATGATTCAATTCTGGAGCAGCATCTCGTACAATACTACAGCACTGAGTTATACTTACAATGAAAACAATCATAAGTTTATCATCAAAGATCAAGATTTATGAGATAGTGAGCAAGGATAATGGAAACAGAAGGAAGGGTTACCTATCAAACAAAGTCGTAACACCATTCCTAGAGACTAAGCTGAACTGTCTGACCTTCTGTCCAAATAAGATTATTTTACCCAAAGCCTTTTTGCAGTGTTTTCAACCAAACCTGGTTGAGATCCTATTTTCATGAATGTAATCGCACCACCCGATTACTTCCTAGGCAAAGGAACACAGGGTGGTTTCCTTGTCCCCAGATATAGTCTAGTAAACTGCTGAAGTGCATCCCCGGATAAGGTTCTTACCCCCTTGCTGTTCTTCTCTTCCTGTTAAATCTCAATTCTTCCTCTGCATTTAGCTCAGACTGGGGAGTGTGAACGAGACAATACTCAATTTACATGTCAGACAGACAGACGGATAAATATCTTTGTTCTGGCAGGAAATCAGTTCTTCACCTCTGCTGGGGATTAACACCTTGATACAAACTATCAGAACATATTTCCAGTGGATATACACATAACTCCTTACATAGCGGCCGTACCAACATTTACGACAATAATCATAACCATTTAAAAACCTCATCTGGTACTCTTTCTGAATGAATACTATGAAAGCGGCAGGCCTGTTAGGAGTTGCTGTCACAGACCAGTGAGCCCTCTGCCAGCTGAGAGCAATGGGGCTCCGTGTCACAATAGCCTTGCACAACAAAGCGCCAGAAGAGCTGCAAAGAACAAAAACCGCACAGTGAATACATGTAAAATGGACTCATCTGCTTCCCGGAGTCTTACTTTGGAGAGCTCTTCCGGTCCTTGGAAACAATGATGAGGTATCCCCGATACCAGTGAACGATCAACTTCTGTCCCTCAAAGGCAAAGCAGGGGCCACGCTCATCTGGCTGGTACAGATACACACATTCATTTCCTGCCACAATGAACTGCAGGTCCTGAGAGGGGTCGCTGAGCGTGGAGCAGCGTAAACCGCAACCATGTGTGTCCAGCTCCAGGCGAGGATAATCCTTCACTGACAGCATATAGGACTGTGAATGAAATATGATGTTTCAGAGATTATATCGAACCGCAGATTGGTGATAAATAACCAGGAGCTGTTACAAGCAGTGGGCCAGAGTCTCACCTCCATTACTGCTTTGTCAAGCCAATATCTTACCTGGATGTTCTCCGTGGTGACAACAAAAAGGTGGGTGATTTTCCCAGACTGGCGGAAGGCAAGGCCAGTGACCGGGTAATTGCCTTCATGTAAGATCTGGGTCTTACTGTGTCGGTCTCGTGTGATGTCACCTTTTGTAAGCACAACACTTCCATCTGCAAAACCTGTTGAAGGAAAAGGACTAAACGGTTTATGTCTATGGCACTTTCCAAACATATACTAGTATTAAGTCCTAGGCAGCTGCTGTCAGCTGGATCCTCCTTGTTGTTTCCCAGACAGATATGCATACTGGGGTGGTCCCATGGTCTTCTCACTTCACAGACCCATGTATCCAACTCCCTTCCTGAGTGGAGTCTACTAGGACCTCTTCACGGCCATCTCCTGGCCCAGTGCAAAGCCTTACTGTTTGAGAAAGTTTAATCTCGGTTTCTTACAAAAAGCCGTGTTCTCTTCTCCCAACAAATTGTGCTCATCTGCCCCTTGTGGGTTCCAGAACTAGCTGCTCCAAGAAGCAGTCACTCATGCGGTCACGAAATTTTATCTCAGCGTCATGCCCCAATGTGACATTTACCCAGTCATTATAACGGCGCTTTCTGCTTCTGGAGCCTCTCTAACCAACTTTATCATTTCAGAATCGCTGTCACCATCCTTGTCAGGTGGTTGATAGCCTATGCCTACTGCTATACTTTTTTTTAGTCAAGCATGCAATCAGGGCCAGATTTCCAATTAGGAACAGTAGGCACATGTGTAGAACCAATGTGAATGAAATTGTTTTTAGTTATCCTGTACCATTGTAACTTCTGTTCACCATTTCATTACACCTGCCATTTTGCCTACATTGTAACTTTCATTACACTTGCCATTTTTTCTACATTGTAACTTCTGTGCCATATTGTAATTCAAACCCCATTTTAAAACGCTTACTCCATTTTGTAAGGGCTTGCTGCAACCTTCATTTTTGCAAACCCTACTGTAATTTTATTAGTCTAGTTGAGATGTGTGAATGAGGGATGCATGGGTGATAGAATCAACCTCCAGCACCAGCCCGTCCTAATGAGATAAAGTTCAAATACCAACGGCTGAAGAACTAGACAACAGCCCTAACTCAAGCAAGAAGCATCCACCCTAAAAAGAAACAACAGAAGGAAGATCAAAGCCAGGTCCCAGGCTGACAGTCACGCCTGCAATTGACGGGTGATCAAGCACCAAACCCAGAGGCGGCCTGACACAGCGAGACCTAGGAACTTTAAATCCAAACTAAACTCCTATAAAAAAGGAAGGGTGAGATGAGAGACTTTGGGTAACGTTCTGCTATCAACATCAAGGAGCATCGGTGCGCGCCCGACAGAGACCCGGCTCCTCCTCGTGCTCAGCTTTCCTGGCCAGTTAGCTGCCACGAGCTACGATCCCAAGCTGCGAACTCAAACTACAATCAGGACTGGTAACTATCCAGCAGCTGCAGAACATTTTGGTGTGTGTGTGTGTGTGTAAGTGTATGTGTATAAGCATTAAGGTATTTGCTAATAGTTAGAGATTAATAATAAATGTGGCATCTTTGTCTTGACCCCTAAAACGATCCTGTGTAAGTTTGTGGGACAACACATGCCTAGGGGCACCGGCGTTCTAGGGTCACCTAAAAGTTAAAAGTGCGTTAAAAGTTAAAAAGTTAATACATACATGGTTAAAAGTGGTTAGCGTAAGCTTATTTTAAAAATTATAAACACCCCAATAATACAGTAGAACCTCAGAGTTACATACACCTCAGGAATGGAGGTTGTCCGTAACTCTGAAATGTCCGCAACTCCGAACAAGACCTTACGGACTTCAGACACCGAGGGGATGGAGGGATTGGGACTGCAGCCACAGGTAGGGGGAAGTCAGGGCTCTGGGGGTATCAGGGCTTCTGATCCTCGGGATTACCAGGGCTCAGGACTTTAGATCTGGGGGGAGTGCTGGGGCTCGGGGCTTCAGCCCCACTGCTCCATTCCCGGCGTCTGCCCGGGGGGCGGGGGCGCCAGTGCTTGTACAGCTCCGCTACCAGTTTCAGCAGGGGAGGGGCGCGCCGGGGTTGGGCTATGGTGGGAGCACTGGGGCTGAAACCAGCACTCCCCTCGTAGCTAAAGCCCCAAGCCCCAGCACTCTGCCTTCCGGGGCTGAAACCGGGAACAGAGCCGCAGGGCTGAAGCTCCGAGCCTCAGCACTCCCTCCGGGTCTAAAGCCCTGACCCTGGTGCTCCCGAGGGTCAGAAGCCTGGACACCTTTAACTACTGAAGGAGAACTTTTAAAAATATATGGATTTTGAGGATATCATTAGCGCATTTGCGAAGCAGAAGTCAAGGAAGATATCTGTGCAGTAAAGTAGCACTTACTTGCTACCTATGTGATTGTCAGCTGTAGGTTGGGGGGGGGGGGAAGGAGACAGGTGCTGAAGAAGCTGTGCCTAGGGGCGCGTAAGGTATAAATCCAGCTCTGCATGCAATTTCTATTCATAGAGAGTCTATGGTAGTTTGTTTCATTTCAGATTGGCACCTTATTTGACTACGGTTTATTTAACATACAATGCCACTCGACCTTCTGTATCTTTCCTATATATTTTATAGCCTGGTACTACCATATTACAAAACCCATTCTCCTCCGCCTGAACAAAATCTAAATTACCCGAGTGTCCTTTTTTTTTGGTTAAATCATTTTTAAGCCCCGTTAATTTAAATAAAAATTTGCAATATAGCTAAAGAGAGTATGTACCTAAACTTTAAACCTCAATAAAGCATTAATCTTTGCAAGTAAATTATAGTAAAAATCAAGAACACTCTACGCTGCCTTCTGTAGGAACAACCCATTTTCATTCCATCATATTAACTTCAGAGTTTGTTCAGCATATTCAGGAGGAATTTGCTTTTCACTTACCAATAGCCATGAAGTTAAGATTCTCATGGACAGTTAGGCAGGTGACAGCTGTAGGTTTGTTACCCGGTATTGCTGGGAAAATCCTTGTGCAAAGAGGATTCCCACCATCTCGTTTCTCTAAGTTCCAGACTTTAACCTGCAAACAACACAGACAGAATGTGACTAGATATGGTTTTAAGGTATATTGGGGCCAAAACCTGGTCCCTTTTAAGTCCATAGGGCTAGAAATTAGTACATTATTTTTACACCTGAGACTTTCCCAAACTAATCCCAATACATTGTTCTCCCTCAGAAAGCAAACAAGATGGGCTTATGTCCTCTTTGTCATTTTGATTTACCAGCGGGTTAATGCCTTCTTCATCTTCACCAACAGAAGCCAAGATGCTGTGCTGCTTCAGCTGGTACAGGTGAGTCACCCTCAGCTTGTAAGCCTGGAAACTGCTAAACTGAAGGGAGCGTGGCAAGAACCAGATCTGACCTTCCATATGTAGATGATAGTCAAGGTACACATAGAAAAAAAATGAAACCACACATACCACAACCAAACCCTTCTTAAACTACCCTTATTATTGACAGCTGGCCAAATATAGTTATACTAGCTATTATTCCAGACACTGAGGTGATAACAGAGCAACAAAATATTTAGAGAACATTTTAACCTGCAGGTGACCAGGAGTTGGAAGAGGCAGACATTTTCTATATGCCAAACGGCAACTGAAAAACAAAGCAACAGCTCTGCGCACACCTAACAGACATCCTACTATTAGTTTAGGGCCCAATGCTGTGAGGTACTAAACACTTTTGACTTCCAATGAAAAGCGCTTTACGGGAGGCTTTCAGAACCTTACCGTATTGAACCCATAGTGTATTTCAAGATGAGGGTGGTCACCTTGTTTCTAGTACATGGATTAAATATGATGGCATATATCACATTGGTAGATGTGAAGGTGAACGAGCCCCTGATGGTATGGCTGATGTGATTAGGCCCTATGATGGTGTCACTTGAATAGATATGTGGACAGAGTTGGCATCGGGCTTTGTTACAAGGATAGGTTCCTGGGTCAGTGTTTTTGTTCAGTGATGTGTGGTTGCTGGTGAGTATTTGCTTTAGGTTGGGGGGTTGTCTGTAAGCGAGGACAGGTCTGTCTCCCAAGATCTGTGAGAGTAAAGGATCATCTTTCAGGGCCATCATGTGCCAGCAATGCCCCTCTGCCATGTACATTGGCCAAACCGGACAGTCTCTACGCAAAAGAATTAATGGACACAAATCTGACATCAGGAATCATAATACTCAAAAAACAGTGGGAGAACACTTTAACCTGTCTGGCCATTCTATGACAGACCTGCGGGTGGCTATCTTAAAACAGAAAAACTTCAAAAACAGACTCCAACGAGAGACTGCTGAGCTGGAATTGATATGCAAACTAGACACAATCAACTCAGGGTTAAATAGGGATTGGGAATGGCTGAGCCATTACAAACATTGAATCTAGCTCCCCTTGTAAGTATTCTCACACTTGCTTCTTATCAAACTGTCTGTACTTGGCTATCTTGATTATCACTTCAAAAGTTTTTTTTCTCTTACTTAATTGGCCTCTCAGAGTTGGTAAGACAACTCCCAGCTGTTCATGCTCTCTGTATGTGTGTATATATATCTCCTCAATATATGTTTCACTCAATATGCATCCGAAGAAGTGGGTTGTAGCCCACGAAAGCTTATGCTCTAATAAATTTGTTAGTCTCTAAGGTGCCACAAGTACTCCTGTTCTATTTGCATTATAGTCACTTATTATCAAATTTTTATAAAACTATCCCAGTTACATTATATTCACTTATTATCATGTTTTTATAAAACCATATAGACTGCACAACGTCACAAACCCATAGTGTATTTCAAGATGAGGGTGGCCACCTTGTTTCTAGTACATGGATTAAATATTTTTGCCCATTGTACTCTTTCTAGTTCTTACCAACAGTGATTCTCAGCCACGCAGAATGCATTCATATGTGTCTTCACATGCATCGTGCAACAAAGAAAATGGACTACACTTCCTAAAGCCTGATGGATTCCAAAAACACACATTAGGTCAGCAAAACCACTCCTTGTGGTTTCAGGGAATGCTTGCCATAGCCCAGTTAACTACCCAAAACGCTCTTTCTATAAAGGAGAAATATTCTGAAATTGACTGCATTATACATCACTCACACACTTCCCATTTCATTTCTCCACAAAACAGGTAGAGCAAGTTTCTTCCACTCCACACCGTCAATGTGCCTCAGCCCCACTCAGAAGCTCCCTCCTCTAGCAGTAAGTAGAGACTAGTTCAGACGATACAGCTCATCCAGCCCTGGACTCGTGGGCTGAGGTGGGCGGGGGAGCATTTGGTGCCAATTGCGATGGCCAAGTCTGTGACGGGAAACAGACATGCGAATATCTGAACAGTACAGCACCAGCCAGGCATAAGGAGCAATCTTGTCACTGCGCTGCCGACTCCGGACTTGGCCATTCCTGAAGCTCATCCCGTCGCACTGGCGCCCCAACCTCGTTCCTACCCGCTAGCATTCCAAGGGGGCGGGGCCCCGCTTCGCTCCCCCCGCTAACATCCAAGGTGGGAGAGGCCGCCAGACGGCGACCCCCGAGGGCGCCCCGGGCAAGGATATCCCCGAAAACCAGGCTGCCTCTGCCCGAGTCGCAGACGGTGATGCCCGGCGGAAGGGCGAAGGGCTTCCCCCCGCCGGCACCTCCCCCGTCGGGCCCGGCCGGCTCCTTCACCGTCTCCCTGTCAAAGAACACGAAGCGGCGCCACTGCAGGTAAGCAGCCATCTTGGCACCCGGAGCTGCACCCGGCGGGGGTCAGGTGACCGGGCCGCCGAGGACGCGCACGTGAGGGACGGCGGCGGCCTGGGAGCTTGTCACGTGGGACTCTGGGCAGGCGCTGTCCGCCTCGCCGCTGCCGGGAACTGTAGTTTTCGCGCGTGCAGGGGCGGGAGGAAAATCAAGCATGCGCGTAAGAGGCCGTGCCCCCTTCTCACTCCATGCCCCTCCCTCTGTGGCTTGCTCTCCCCCCCTCTCCCTGGGCTGGTGGGCGGGAGGGGTGAGACCTCAAGGCTCTAACTGGGGGTGAGCTCTGGGATGGGGCCAGAAGTGAGGGGTTCAGGGTGTGAGAGGGGCTCCGGGCTGGGGCAAGAGGTTGGGGTGCAGAGGGGGGTGGGGCAAGGCCAGGCACAAAGGGTTTGGGGTGAAGGGGGGCTCCAGGCTGGGATGGGTGGCAGAGGAGTTCATGGTAGTGGGGTGCAGGCTCTGGGGTGGCGATAAGGGATTTTTTTGGGGGGTAGGGGGAGAGAGAGACTCAGGGCTGGAGCTGGGGCTTACCTCAGGTGGCTCCCACTCAGCGGCGCTGCAGGGATACCTTGTCACCCTAGGAGGAACACTATTCGATAACGCTTAGTAGATGTTCATACAGGGCATGGCTCACGGCTGGATAATGCTTCAATAGAGCAGCATTGCTTTTTTTTAAATGTTATTGCACATACCACTTCAAACTAATCTCAGGGAAGGGCCCACCAGAGGAAAGTAGGCCCAAATAGTAGAGAGAGCCATTTAAAAAGCCTAAAATCATGGATCCCTGATGTAGCCAGTTTGATGGACCCTGTTAAGATTACAATAATGCAGACCTGATAACAGTAACAAAAAGCAAGCATTTCACACTAAAAATGCACCCTTTTTTTGTTTCAACCTTAAACCACTTGAGTTCTCCCATTCCAGAATCATGTTAATTTATGAGACTAGATCACATAAAACAATAACATTGGTGATAGTTGTAGTTTTTTCTTGTTTTCTCATTTTGCAAATGTTGGATTTCAAATTAACTGTTTCTTTATTGGAGGTTTACTAAGAAGCAAAAGCCTCTCTCTTCTACCACATGGCAAATTTGAGGGCCGGATGACTTCCTGGTCTTGAGCTGGTGAAAGAAAGGCGGCTTTTTGTTGCTAGTGTTTTACCCGTGAAACCAGGAATTACATCACACTTTGCCATGGCTCATTAGACACGTAAGAATCTTTATTTATGTGTTATGCCTATGTGTGATAGTTACATAGAAGCCAGGGCTTTACATTGGCAGGCCATGGAGAAGGTGTACAGACCTCTTCCCCTGGAGCACGCACGTGCAAACAAATTCATATGCAGCCATAGTGTTTTCACGGAGAGGATGCGTGGTTTTCTGTGCCAGCTTATGCCTCATTAGCCCCACTGGGCATGCATACAAGGGACTTTACGGTCTGCATTAACATATTAAAGCGGGGAGCATGTGTACAGGAGTCTTCACATGAGATATGCATGAAGCTTCCATACATCTCTCCACCTTCGGGGCATGCACTGGCTCCTCACTCACCACCCGCCTCCGGCCACCAGGTGCATTCTTCTAGGGTTGCCTTCCGAGGGGAGTGCCAGCCTTGTCCCATGTGCGCCAATGGAGCTGATGGGTCCCAGGTGACTCCTCCTGGCTCCTCTGAACGTGGCCCAATGGGGCTCGTCGGGTCTGTGGCCCGGATTGGCTCGCAGAACCCAGCACTATTGGCTCCTCCCTCCCATGAGATTGCCCTGCATCCAGGCCACAGGCTGTGCAAGATGCTGGGGCTGCTGCTGCTAATGGAACAACTGGTGGTGGACCTCGCACAGCTGGAGGTGAGTTCGGAGGCAGGAGCCCTCAGAATAGCCCTGCAGCACTAGCAACCCCCAGGGAGCATAGGAAAGCAAAGTCACTAGTAGCTGTATGTAAACACACACAAAACAGCAGCAGGAAATAGTGTTATGTTGCTAGAACAGTGATTTCCACATACACCTCTACCCAGACATAACGCGACCCGATATAACACGAATTCGAATATAACGCGGTAAAGCAGCACTCCGGGGGGGGGGGGGAAAGGGGGGCTGCGCACTCCAGCGGATCAAAGCAAGTTCGATATAACGCGGTTTCACCTATAACGCGGTAAGATTTTTTGGCTCCCGAGAACAGCGTTATATCGGGGTAGAGGTGTATAGAGAAAAACATTAAGCACAGAAAGTCAAAGTCATCCCTGCTGAAGCCACAGTGGTCTCACTGCAATTACATCAGAGATGAATTTGGGCCAGTGTGCTCAGTTGCACAAAAACACGAAAAGCCCATCTGAGCTTCCTAGACACCAGGGCTCTCAGAAAACCAGTGTATTTGCATAAAGAACAGCCCAAAGGCCAATATTCTAGTTGAACAGAAGGCAGTTCCGTGTTATCTGTTGTGTTATGTAAAAAGCAGGGGTTTAAACAAAGGTAAGTAAGGCCCTAAATTTATGCACAGGGAGGGATGGGGGGTTACTGATCCACAGGGCCTGCCAGCAGGCAGGAGGCGCTGGGGGTGAGCTGATGGGGGGCTGCCGATGGGTGCTCAGCACTCACCATTGAGGTTCCCAACTCAGCAGTAATTTTAATAATACTGGGCCTGATCTTGGGAAACACCTGTCAAACCTCAGAGTGATAACAGGGAATTCTTAAGTGATCAATATAATCAATACACAATCCATAGCTCAGCAACACAGTACTACAGAAATAGAGGGGATTTTCTGACAATTGCTTATGTGCAGTTAGTGGGCCTAGGATTTACCTTTGGGGCAGAGTGAGGGACTGGAAGTTATTTTATATATAGATAAGATTAATATGCACTGTGTTAAACATTTTTTGCATTTCTATAAGAAAAAACCCTACATTTTACTTGTTATGAAGAAGTGTATTTTCTTCTCTTTTCAGATACATAACTTGTAGCTCCAGGAGCCCCTCCAGGGCAGATTATATCCCTAAATCATCACAGTCAGTTCACATTAAGAAAAAGCCTATGTTCACATTTCTCTGAGCTACAAAACATGCATAAATTCAAAGTATGTACATAAGAAATGTCTTACAGTAAGCAATTCTAACCTTTAAATGGAAAGACAGTTACAGCACAACTGAATTTGTGTGAGGTCACTTTTAATACAGGTGAAACGTGGGTCGAGCAGCTGCCAGGAGAAATTCTGAACTCACATTTGAGTTGAATTTCTATCTACATGCCTATTAGGCCATTTTTCATTACATAAAATCATCTCAAAGCAACCAAATGAAGCAATTACACCCCTAAAAGACCATCTGGCCCCAAACTCTTATTTTCCATCAGTGATAACCAAACTTGATCTCTGGCCTACAAGCAACTAAATTAAAAAACAAATTAACAAAAAACCCAAGACAAGCACACCACAGAACACTCGACCATTGGACAAGAAACCCAATTATTTTTCATAGCCTTCTGTTCTGTCAAGCTAGTATAGTGGTAATTAGCTGCAGCATTGGCTGACCCAGCCCACAGGACAATCAGTTACTGCCCAGCAGAAACCTGCTGCAAAAGGCTTTGTGCTGTGCAAATGTGACACCAGAAATTGCCCTGTAGCATTGCAGACAGGTTGGTGTGCCCAGGGCTTAAGGCACTGTGAAGCTGTCAGAGGGGTGCTATGCACCGTGACCTGTACTCAAACCCTCCCAGAAAGTGCACCATTCTTTGCATCATATATATCCCAACAACACGGTAGTTTTATAGCCACTTGAGCTCACGTCCTCTCCAGTCAAGTTCCATCCGAGTTCATTGGAGGGGTTGAAAGAAATCAAGAAGCAACTAATTTACAGAGTCTTCAAGATAAGTATGGTACAAGATCCACAAGGGAGGCGTCCCAGGGAAGGCGAGGCTCTAGGTGCTACGTTTTGTGTGTATGAGGAGTTCCCTCTGCAGGCCAGCGTCAATAGTTGTGGCTGATTTACCTGGGGGCAGATCCGTGATGAGAGTGAGCTTGTTGAAAACCCCACGACCAAAGTAATCAGCAACAACAGAGAAGCCATCATTAGAGCACTTGAGCTGTCAAAGAGAAAAAGAAGCTTCGTTAAAAAAGGGTTGGGTCCTGCTCCAAAAGCACTCATGCGCCATCTGCTGCAATCTCAACCATATTTGGTCACTTCATTTTGCAGCATTTGTGTTACATAAGCAAAGGAGCATTGTCACCCTTGGTGGAAGCTCTTATACTAACACACACCTCAAGAAAGGTTTTCTGCAGCTAGGATATTCAGCCTTCCTGATTATCCACATGTTCACCTAAATATTCAGTTCATCTCCATTTAAATCATGTGCCGTCAAATCAAATTGAACCCTATGACCCTATGCTTTTGAACACCACCAACTTATCATATGTTAAAGTACACACTGCCTTGTCTACATTAGATTTTTCCTATGTGTTTGTTGGAATACATTAGCTACAAATTCTAACATTTTAAATCCTTGCTTAGAAAAGGTCTGATAGGAGAGACTCTACCTTTACAGTCTTAAACCTGCCTCGGCCAACTTGACCAACTATTTTCTACCTCCCTCAATTTCACTGTAGTTTCAGGTCAAACTGTTGTGCAGTGTTATTGTATGCTATTGCGCAGCTGTCATGTTCCATCCTACAGGTGGATGCCTTTCAGTGACAGCTGAAGGGAAATTACTTCTAGATACCTCCATTTGTAAAGCACAAAAGAATCCTTTGGTATGAAAGGCACCTCAGAGACAAGTCATTCAGCTACCAATGCTCCACAGTTCAGGTTCAATAAGGACCTGTTTGCAAAGTAGCTTCATCCTTTCCTGTTCTCAACAAGTCTCACAAACAGCACAGGAGCCTGAACTCCTATGTATATTAACGCATACTGTTCACAGTAGCATGGGCGGCGAGTTCTATGGGCCCGTGGTGCTTAGGCACCAGGAATATTCCTGGCCCGGGGCCCAGCTCCAGCACTGTTTGAGGCCAGATCTCTCCCTTGGCCCAGCCTTCCACCCCTGGGCGCTTCCCCCCACACA